AAATAAGCTGGAGATTTCTGAAGTAAAGTAATCTATCAGTTTTGTTTAGTCCTGTATTTTCCAAGCTTTGGAAAAACTCGTTGGAAATGCTGGTCTAGGTTTTTTTGGAAGGCAGAGAGGTTGATTTTTTTTCCTGAAAATATTCTCCCAAGATTAATTCTGTTGCCCTCAGTATCATTTTTCCCCTCAGTTGGGTCAGCTACAATCCCTGAAGCTTGTTGTAAGCCAGTTTGATTTTGATTGAGATTGGTCATATTGACTGGTAACAGAGGGAGCTCTCCCAGAATGGTGATTCTAGAAAAAGGATTTATCAGCTTTCTAGGGCCATTTGCATCCTGTGGGCCTCTCCCAGTCCCGTAAGCCTTCTCTTTTGCTTTCCTTTCCTTTCCTGCTGTATCATTCAAACGTTGGATTTCATCCTATTTTATGTAGGAGACAGACGAAGCTTGCCTAGAGTGAAAATAACCCTGGAGAGATTAAACTGTGACTTATTCTCATTCCCAGCATCTAAAGACAGTGGATTAGATTAAGAACTAAATAACATACTACCCTGTTCCATATGGCATAGGCTTTTGGTTACTTACTTACTAAATAAATAAATAGATAAAAAATAAACAAAATTGTTCTCTGAGAATTTTGAGAAATATGGCTTTAGTACTATAATTGCACAGTCAGGGTTACCCCCAGGATTTGGAATTGGGGACACAAGATAGACTTAAGGTTTATATCTGATCCAGAAAAATCTCTCCCACTAAATCTTTCCAAGACCCTATGTTTATTTTAGTATTAGAGCTCCAGTAGGAAGTATGAATGTTGCCCCAAATCAGTTCATCTTGAAGGAGATCCCTATTGACTAGGAACTACGAGGAAGAAAGATTCTGTCCCTAAGTCCCAACGAGACTTTTATTTCAAGTCACCTCTCCAGGGTTAGACCCCAGCTGTCCCTGGGGTGCTAATTACAGTGGCAATTGGCCAAGCATCCTTATCTCAGCTTGTGACTTCCCTAGTGCTTGCTGGGTGGTCTTATGTCTCCAGTGGGGTGGATGATGTCTTGCAACCTTTGGACGGTTGCTCTAGAATATCTAATTACACTCATTGTAAAATTAACCTTTAAAAAAAAAGGAAAAAGAAAAAAGACATTTTTGACATGGTTTAAATTTCAGACAGGCCAATGCAAGAGTATTTTGTGTCCCCACAAACCTTACAGAATTCTCATTGGAAATAATTCTCCTGTGTGTATTTGCACACTTTGTTACAGTGTGACAAAATGAGAGTAGGAACTGTCCACTACTATGGACACGCTGATTTTTCTTCATCTAGAAGCATGGTGCCATTCTTCCTTGTTTTGTTTCAGCAGCATACTTTGTGCCATGTTTGCAAGTTTGCTCTGTAGTCATTAAAAATGAAAAACCAGGGG